TGTCGCCTAATGTTACAAAGGACAATCTAGAAGACCAGAGACGGGTTGAGCACAAAGAATGACCGGGTAACTTTTGAGAGAAGGTGACCGGTCATATCATCTCACTTGACAAACATTGGTCCAGTATCTCAGGCATGGTGAACCACGTCAGAGGTCAAGGGGACACCCCGCCGCTCATCCATCACGAGGCACACAGTGAAAGGGATGTTTGTCATTTTGCAGGGTTGATTGGATTGAGAATATCCATTTTAGTCTTTGATTGAACAGTACATGTCTTGGCCTATAGTTGCTAAATTCTATGATTGTACAGTGTTCCCATTATCTACAGTGACCTTCCCACGTGCTTCCTATTTTGTCCATGGATGAACAGGGGAAGGTCACAAATCCTCCTCTATAAATATGATGATATTGGATAGAGGAGGGGATCCAATTTTTCTCTCACTAAAGTTCACTCTTGAGATAGAGTAAGAAATATAATTCGGACTGAGGAGATTTATCCGGTCTAGGTCATACTTCGTGCTCTTGTTGTGTGTTTTATATTACGGGTCGAGTGTGTCCAGGTCAAACCCGGTTAACCCACCCCGCTATATTTACACCATCACATGTCATATTTAACGCTAAAAAATATGCAAAATTAAAAAAATTAGAAAAAGATTAGGTTTCAAATTAAAAGGAAAGCCAAAAGTTTAGGATGTTTTCCAACGAGTTGACCAAATTTTTTAGAGTGATATTTACATGATCCCAAGGTCCACATTTAAAATGTAGATTTTCTCATATTTTTCATAGGCTTGCATGTGAATATTTTATTTTTGAAAAGACCACCTCTTTTATGCTACAAATGTACTAAGGTTTATAAAATTAGTGTGAACCTTAGGTACACGAAAGAATTTATCATTATTTTAATAGCTTTTCTCTTTTCTTTTCCCTGGTGAACCCATTTCCCCCTCGAATCTTTTCTCTGTTCTTTTTTTCCTCTACACTTTGACCATTCCTTGTCTTTCTTTTTTGACACATCATATTTTATCAAGTTCTTTCCTCTCTACGGGGATGCTCTAACAATGTTAGATAAGTCGGTAGGCGTTGCGCAGTTGACAAGGCGAAACGTGCGGGGGTAAGACCCGAATTTGATTCCTAAGCTTGGAGTCAACTATACAAAACAAAGGGTCTCTGCAAGTAGAAGGTGCAGACTTAATTCTTTATCATTAATCTACGATTAACGTTCAACTTACCTTCTTTCACTGTCCACCTGACTCTGACTGGATCTTAGGGAGGCTTCGAAGATGGGGCTCATCCTTTTTTAACAATGTTAGATTTTTATATAGCTATGTGTTTGAAGTTTATACACATGATTAAAAAGTACTCGGGTAGTAAATCATTCAATAATGTTTTTTGAAATGAGATTTTTATTTTAAGACGATTTGAAATGAAGTAAAACTTTATTTTAAAAGTATATTTTTTTAATCACTAATCAGAAATTTATGAAGGGCAATGTCATGGGATGACCCGGGGCCGCTCCAGTGCCCCGTTCGTAAAATTGATGGTTCCTACCCACCGGTGCCCCGTTCGTAAAATTGACGGTTTCTACCCCCTAACCCCCCGCCCGCCACAACCCGAACACACCTCCACCCCCTCCAATTGCACCCTACAAGTTGATTTTGACTTTGAAGTCAAAATTTGACTCAAGGTCAAAATCTACTTGTGGGGTGCAATTGGAGGGGTGGGGTGTGTGTTCTGGTTGGGGCGGGTGGGGGGAGGGGTTTACCAGGGGATTAGGGGGGTAAGAACCATTAATTTTACGAACGGAACACCTAAACGACCACGGGTCATCCCATGACATTACCGGGCAATGTCATGGGAACCTTGGTGATTTATGAACTAGTTCTTGAAAAGAAAAGGTTTAGAAACATCGTTTAATAACCCAAGTGGGTAACTCAAGTGGCAAAAGAGCTTCCATGTTGGGAAAAGAAGCCGATTCTCACCGGAGACAATTCCCCTTGGGCCAGCTCCCTCGCCCCTAAGCGAACGGAGACTAGTCGGGTGGACCCAGGTCGTACGACGAATGGAGAATTACTCCAAAAATCTTATTGCAAACCACGTTTTGGGATAGTTGAGTTTGAACATTTCAAACTTAAGGCATCTATGAAAATATGATCACTATTCACCAATACAATTCCTAAAGCGTCATATTAGACCACTCACGACAGTGAGTATATGTCTCAGACATGATGGGTTAAAAAATGCCACTGCCCAAAATTGCAATGTAATCTTAATTATGTAATTTTATTTTATGGAGTAATTAGTAATCAAAATTAGATAAATACTAAATACTTTAGAACGGAGGTAGTATAAACTTTATGTTAAAGCTCTCCCAATGGTGAAGAATTTTTTCACTCAGGGGAGAAATTTTAGTTTCGGAATAAAATTTGTAGTTGTACATTGATTATTGCACAATAATATCCAACTAAGCTACTTATACATCAAGAGTTGTACCTCAAATTGTACACCTTCACTTTGTGCCAGTGTGATGGTTCACGCAAGCACAAAATGCTAGTGCAAAATTTTTTGATCGCACTAGTATATTGTGTCGGTGTGAACCATCGAAATATTGGTGCATACTTTTGGTGCACAGTCCTTGGGATACCCCTAGCATGGTTGTAACTGGCCATATGAATACCCTTCAAGGCATATATGAACATTCCTCCCCAATGCATTTTTACAAAACAATCCCTACTTACTAGACCATGTAGAAATGAGGATTGCACACCCTGTCCACCACGCCTTTGCAGGTAGATAGATGTGGGTGGGCGGACGGGGAGATATAAAGAAAAATAGTTCAGAACAAACTAGCAAACGCTAACCGTGTCCTTGTAAAGAAACATCCGGAATATAAGACCTCTGCTCGGGAAAAATCACATACAATGTGAGCGTGTCCTCATGAAGACCTTCAAAGTTACAAAACGAAAAAGTATGGAAGTGAATGCTTGGACCTGCAAAAAAGAAAGCCAAAGGAAAATATAATATAATATATAATCAAACTTAGCGCATCCCTGTGGAGCATATGTTGCAGACTTAATAAGGACAGAACCAGATAATTGAAAGGTAACTAGGAGTCAGTAGCGTGCAGCACACATAACCTTGCAAGTATAGACTTTAATGTTGGCAAAGCCCATTCGGTAACGCATTCAATATAGAATTATAGATGTATATTTTTTATAAGTAAAAATACAGCATTAGTTTCAACCGATATAACAACAAACACAACAACAACAAACTCGGAAGAATCCCACAAAAGTATGGACTAGGGAGTCTGTTTGCAAGAGACCTCCGGCTCAGAACATAGAAATCTATGAAGCATGAACGAAGAACAAACATTGACAAAAGAAGCAAACAAGCTGACTCTAGAAACTAGGCATAAATCACAAAGCACAGAAAAAAACACAGGCACACATAACAGACTAAGGCAAAACAACAAAAAAAATGCACCAACAGAAACAACTGACTAAGGCCATAAGATAAATTACAAGAGACAGATTTCTTTAGATAAACTTTTCCACTCATGTCCAGCCTAGCTGAAGAAAAATTAAGATTGAAAACTTAATCAATCCAATAGTGAAATAATTTTATAATATCTGTAACAGAAGCTCCACAATGGTAGATACTTCCAAATACGAGCATCCACATCTGTTGATATTATTTGGGGATGAAATGGTGAGGTGCCATATGAGTTTGGGATTGATGGACTGGGATGGAGGATTATTTGGTGAGTTCATTGTGTATAATAATCCAGTAGCAGGTTTTGGATTCGGACTATTTGAAAAATTGACTAGTGCAGGACCCATGAAGAATGAGACTATTTGGAGATGATGGTTGATGGAAATATTTAGGATTTTTATGTGGCACACAAATGGCAACAATGACCATTGAATCTGACACGTTGAAATATTGTTGGATATATAAATCAATCCTTAATGGCAATAATGAATCACTTGGATAAAAAAGCATAACCTCCAACGGTTGAAATGTTGGTGAACTGATATCAATTTGAGTGCATCCTTCAAATGAACTAGTAAAAAAAGTTTAGCAAAATCATAATCCGTATATTTAAAGTTTTCTATAAGATCAATTGAATATTTACTGCTGAAAAGTTTTACAGAGACTGCAATTTTAGAAAAAGCCTTACACAATACACAGTTCCAGAGTTTTCATGTAGTGGGGTCTAGTGAAGGGAATACCTAGGCAGCCTTCCCCTTGATTTGCTTTAAGCAAGGAGACTGATTGTTATGGTAGCAACCATCATAAATAAATGTAAATGTGTAAATGTTGATTGGCACATACCATGCTTGTATGGTCCAAACTCAAGACAAAGAAGAGATTGCACTTAAAAAGAAGTTAAAGGCCAAATGATCATGCTCCACGCCTCCACTGCGGCAGCTGTGGAGATAATTGGCCAGATTTATAAGCATGACATTCATGCAGAGGCATCGCCACAAGTCATTGATTGCCCAATGATTGTTCTTGCTCTAAGCTGCAATAAGAATAAAATAAAGACTGTTTATTTAAATTGAAAAAAATGCTAAGGGTCCATTAGAAACTCAGAAAATTATAGGAGGGAATGGGAAGAGAAATATAGGATAAATTTAAAAGGAATGAAAATGTGGGTAAAACTAAAACATTGATTCAAACTAAATAATTTTATGTTTGATATTTATCAAACTCCAATTTTTAAATTTATTTCCATCATCTCCGATGGAGCCAAAATTTCACCATTTTTTGGCTTTGGGGTGTGATGGAATAAATCAAAATGGATCTCTAAACTGTCTGCGCTTCTTTAATTAATGAAGTAGCAGTTAGTCAAGCAATGCAACTTTCGACGTTGAGCCGGGGGTCTCTTTGGAAACAGCCTCTCTACTTTCAAGTAGGGGCAAGGTCTGCGTACACACACCCTCCCCAGACCCTACNTTCACCATTTTTTGGCTTTGGGGTGTGATGGAATAAATCAAAATGGATCTCTAAACTGTCTGCGCTTCTTTAATTAATGAAGTAGCAGTTAGTCAAGCAATGCAACTTTCGACGTTGAGCCGGGGGTCTCTTTGGAAACAGCCTCTCTACTTTCAAGTAGGGGCAAGGTCTGCGTACACACACCCTCCCCAGACCCTACTCTTGTGGGATTTAACTGGGTTGTTGTTGTTTGTAATATGAAGACATAAATCTAAACAAATATAAGACTCTTAAAGCCATCAATCATACCCCCTCCATCCCAAAATAATCTTCTGCGTTTGACTTTCACGGAGTTTAAGAATGTGTTGAAAAAATGAAAAAAAGGAGTGTTTAGAAATTGATGGAAAAACGTTTTTAGCCACATATTCTTTTCCTTAAAAGGAAAGTGAAGATTATTTCGGGACGGACAAAAAAGGAAAAAAGGAAGATTATGTTGGGATGGAGGGAGTATTTCATTTCTTTTTGAATTCTCTAATGTAAAATCGAACATAGAAACTACTTCCCTTGGCATGCTTGGCATATTTTCCTTTCACTAGAATTTTTCGCAATCCAAAGTACCCTAAAGTAATTTAATTCAACAATTTGCAACTGACCTTCACATCCAGACAGGGATCATTAACCATATTCTTCAATTGAGAAAGTATGCCGTTATTGTGTAGCTTTACAACTCGAGCAGATGTTCCAGGACTGCTTGTAGGAAAAGTAAGATTTACTAAAGCCCAAACAGCAGCAGTGCGTAATCGGCTGTCACTACTCTGCAAGAACTTAGACACCACTGATTGCATGGTGTCATTAGATGATGGCGGGAAAAGCTGGTGCATAACTGCTTCCTTGTGAAACTCATTTCCTGATGCCACATTGCTTAGAACATACATACCCTGCAAATCTGCAATACATTAGTCATATGATCTTTAGTATTGAGGTTTCCCCAATCCCGCCCCTGTACAATATATTACTCAGTTTACTCCATCCATCCTTAAGGGCTAAGGAGATGCATGGAATGTGTAAAATGGTAAAGTAGAAAAAGACTGTCAGAGTAAATACAGCAGTTTCCAAACTGTGGTTTTAACTTGAAAATACAAAGCAAAATCAAGTTCGATTAAACTTTTATAAAAGATCATATATTCACGTCAATTATTCTTTTTTAATAGTACTATTAACTCTATTACAATGTAGTATTTGTCCATACACGTCAACTATTCTTAATATGGTAGATATATACGAATAAATTAATTTTAAAAAAAATATCTAAAATTTATATGTTGAGCTATGTTATAAGTTCATTGCCAATGGAGCTAAAAGAGTCATTTTTTACAATGGTTTAGCTTCGGGTAAATAACGGACTAGATCAAAATGGCACATTAAACTTCCCTTGCTTGTAGTTTTTTATGATGTTTTAGGAAGTAAAGGCATCAATGCTTCCAATTTTTGTTAACACTCACGTTTGGCCCAAATATTAAATGTGTGTTATTGTGTAGACTACACTCGTGTGCCCATCAAAAGTGACTTGCATGCTCCATCTGTCCCTAAAAGAAGTTGACACTTTGACTTCAAGGAGATTGAGAAAGATGTTGAAAAGTGAAAAGCGTGGTTGGAATTTGTTTAGAAGAGACAAAATTGTTATAAGCCAAATATGCCTTTCCTTAAAAGAAAATGTGAAAAGTCTAAAGTTTAGTTTGGGACGGATGGAATATATTTTATGGTGGAAAAAGCAAGAAGAACATTGTCATTCTACGAGAATAAGTTAAACGAAATAAAGAGAAATGAAATGTTTTGAAATATCCAAAAGGAAAGACTGGAGCTTTGTGAAGGATATATGGATAAATTAACTTTTCATCACTACTACCTACTACCATGCTATTGTCATATAACAACTTCTCATGCACATGTTCACTTACTGAAAAGAGCAACCTAGTACATGAACTTCGTACATAAGGTACTATGAAAAAGAACATGATCATGGTCTATGATGTACAAATTTAGTTGACAATATCACTTTTGTATCTATCATCACAAAGCATTGTCACCTCATGATATTTTCAATATAAGGATGAAAGAGAAATTCTATTTTGTATTTAGACCGGCTATGCTTTACGGAGCGGAGGACTAGGAACTTAAGACAAATCACATTCTTCAACTACATGCGGATGTGAGGGCAGACGAGAATGGATAGGATTTGGAATGATGCTATTAAGGGACGGGTGGAAGTGGCAGCTTTGGAGGATAAGTTGTGGGAAGCTAGGTTGAGGTGGTATGAATATGTCAAGCAGCATTACGATGAGACACCGCCACACCGGTAAGGAGATGCAAGAGGCAAGCGGTAGTAGGTGGGGGTGGGAGAAGGGGTAGACCCAAGAAGACTTGGAAGGATGTGATTAGACCTGCTGATGAGCGTTTGAAGATATAGGACTACGGTAGTTAGGTAGACGTTTGGGCCTTAGTTGTAGTTTTTGCTTTTGTCATTATGTGCTTCCTTTACCTTCTTTTTTTTGCTTCTTTGTTGTGCTTTCTTCTATCTGTTTTGCTCGAACTGGGGGTCTCTTAGAAATTGTCTCCCTACTTTCAAGTAAAGGTAAGGTTTGCATACAGTCCATACACACACCCTCCCCATACCCTACTTTTGTGGGATTCTACCGGGCTGTTGTTCTTAAGGAGAAACAATTTATGATGATGACAGTTTTGAAATTTCATCTCATTATTCCTCGTTTCAAGATTTGCAAAGTTGTAAAAGCCCACTTGAAGGACATACAACACAAAAACTTCCCAAAAAAATGCCACTGTGCTATTTGGATGAATGTATTGTGTTAAATAGTTTAGACACTTATTTGATAGGGGTACATCGGCCCTGACACAGTTTGGGATTAAGGGCATTATCATGTTGAGAAAAAACTACGAAAAAAACCAAATCCACGTGTAGAAAAAGGAAAATGCTTGCCTGAATTAAAACTTCAGCTTTTGAAGCATTTTGTAGCTGTTTTCCCACTGCATGAAGCAGAAGAGCATCATCCACAAATACATAATCAATGCAATCAATGGACCCACCAACAAGATTTCCAACAAGAGCCAATGCTTGCTCTTGAACACATGATTCAGGGTCTGCAGTTTAAAATAGTTGATTTTCAAAGCAAGAGCACTTTTCACAAATATTTACCACAAGTGACAATCAATATTAATCAGTTACCACAAATGAGACATTCTAATGCTGGTTGTGTGAGTTCCAAGAGGATTTCTTCCTTGCACCTGTTGTTTGTAAGGAACACCAGATTCCTCAAAGCACACACTGCTTTTACCCTAATAGTTGAATCCATTGACTTCGAAAGTTGAACAATCTGTTTTACGCCTCCACATTCCAGGAATATTGATTTATTTGAGACAAAATCAACCACGACATTGCTAATGGCACCAAGGGCAGCAACCTTGGAAACAAAGATAAATATTAACAAGAGTTTGTGAATAATATGAGATTATTGAGATGCATGAAGAAAGTAGAAACAACTATGGAGTAATGCTGAATCATGTTAACAAATTTCCAATGCCTGTAACAATTTAAAACAGTAATGGCTAAAGCATGCCTATTTGATTTGCAGTGCAGCCTATCCAGACTTAGAATAGGTTGTTGTAGTTAAGGTCAATTTATGGGTTATAACTAGTTAACTACTTCATATAGTTTGCGCGGTCAACTGCCATTATATAATGGTAAGTAATTTCACCAATGTTCTTAAATTTCTTTACCAAGAATGAGAGTGCATAGATGTAGGGCATGTGAGAGAGCTACTAGCTAGTAAATAACTAAATAATAAATATACAAATGGATGTGTCAAGAAAGCACCAGGGAGCTGGCCTCCATAAATTAATGCCAAAATGCAAAACATAAACAAAACAAAACAAAAACTGGCAACAATGGAAAATCAATGTTGAGCAACAAAAATACCTGGACATTTTCAGATTCGTCAAACAAAAGCTGAACCAGGGGGGCTGTTACAGTTTCCTTCAAAAAACAACCTGCACTCAGGCGCTGCATAGTACTTTGTTAGCTTAGTGCAGCAAGCTGTAGACAAGAATCAACATGTTTTACATATTACAGACCTTGACAGAACGAGAAACATTTTTCACACAGATGCAAGCTGCAATACGAACTTCAGGGCTCTTGCCCCCAAGGGCCTCGGTCACAAGCTTAAAAGCCTGTATGTGAAAAGGAGTGACAAATGTTTGTTAGGACATATTTAATTCAGTGAAAGCATATGGTGCCACATTGAATAACTTTTCTGCTTCTGAAATTTGGTGACATGCTTCATACGGTATGACTAGAAATAAAGGGTCTGCAACACTACAACCACATATTGCAATATTAAAAAGATATGATATTATGATTGAGACAATGTTGAGTGTAGCATATAGCCATTAAGGCTTCCAAAATAAGTAGAAACAGATACAGAAAAACTATCACAGATACAGGCTCTTACCTTTTTTCATGTAATATTGACTTTTTAGTACACTAGAATTTTTTGTTTTCTCCACAGTTTATAATGATTTGAAATTATTTGTTGGTCAGAATGATCATTATTAATTTAATATTTCACAAAAAATAGGAAAACACAAGCTGGAACTGACCTCTAAAGATATCAGCCGATCCCTACAACATTCTAGCCTTGAACAGATATCGGCCAGTGCATGCAATATTCCCTGAGAACGTCTTGGTTGTAATGAATCCTTTCCAAAATGTTTGCAAAGTCTATCAATAGCACTTGCTTCAAATGCTAATCTTTGCAGACCCTCATCTTCTGAAGTTAAACTAGATAGAACAAAAGGAGCTTCATCTCCTACTTGACCAGATTCCTCAAGAAGATCCAGTAATATTAGTATCAATTTCCTTTTTATTTGTACATCTTGAAGATAAGAAGGAGAAGTATGAATAATGGAAATCAAGCATGTGCATGCAAGCAGTTTTGTTCGTGAATATTTATCTTTAGTTAGCTCGATAACCATATTCAATGCTCTTCCCCTTTGGGGCTCCATGAATTCCAAAGTGACTTCAGGATTTTGCTTCATAATTGTGGCCAAGGCTTCTAGACTAGCATCCCTTTGAACTAGAGAGCCTCCAAGAAGGCTAATAAGTCTTTTTGTGATTCCAGCATCACTCAATGCCTTCTGTTCTGCATATGTCTTACAAGAATGCGAGATGATACTTGCACCCAGTCCAGAAACATTTTCATTCTCACTATTTAATAGCAAAAGGATAAAGGCCACATTGTCATCTTGGATGAAATCATATTTTGGAGCCAATTTTGACTGATAAATCAACTTGAGGGACCTTGCACCAGCACCCACAACCTAGAGAACAGTGGGGTAAAGAACAAAACTTTTATAGAGCAGATAGATATCAATATTCACTAATAGTGTTCTTCTAAATGTATTTAAAATGTATTCTGAATGCAAGTAGAGTTCAATAGTTCAGAACACCATTCATGGAATTGTGTAGCAGTGAATTGCATGCCATGAAAAGAACATTAATCTTCAATGCAACAAAGAATATAGCTCAATCAAAATATTAAAAATCTGAATAAGAAAGGACATGGCACGATCGTGAGGGAAAATTGTTCAGAGGCTATGATGCAGGAGATTATTGTTAACAATCTACATTGCTAAGACAACACATTTTACTCCATAACAAAATCAATAGAATGGAGCATCAAATGACCAAATCCAAATATGAGAGCATGAAATTACTACGTTCTATTAAGCAATTTACTGAATTCTGATTTTTTAACAAAATTCGGATTTAATTTAATGCTGAAATGCAGCGCATATAAAGAATTGTCAAGGAGCAGATACAAATGTGCCACGCAATGAAATTCTAGAGACACGAGAATCACCTACCTTGTCGTTAGAATGAGAAATGAGGCGGAGAAGGAGAGGAAAAGCTCCGGCCTCTAGGACCGCCTTGACACCCGCATCGAGACCGCAGGCAAAGCTCCCAATAACAGCCGCGGACTGAATTAACAGGGAATCGTTGATCTCTGCGCCTCCACTAGCGGAGGCGGCTGAAGAAAGGACGGAAACGACGGCGGGGACGGCGCCGAGCTTGAGAAATAATACCTTTTTAGTTCGGTTGCCGATGATCTGGTTCTTAAGCTCCCGGAGAGCCTTAAGCTGAATTTCGGAGCTCGTGGAGCTCAGCCGTCCTATTAGGTCCTCGGTCCGGCTGCGATGCGGCGGCGGCGTCGGTGAGGCTGGCGTCGGCATGGTGCTCAGGAGGACATCCAAATGGCGTTCCTGCGCCACGGTTTTGGTGAAGACGGGACGGGACTCCCCTGATTTTGGTCGGTAAAAACTGCTTATTTTTGGGTTCCGTCCAAATTGCCTTTTTTACTTCCCTATTTATTTCTACTTCCCTAATAAATTCTCTACTTTATTTTAAAGTAAGGAATACGTAGCTCATGTAAAAAAATTCATTACTTTATCATCAAATATGTATCTTTTCCAAATAACTTTTGGTAGCAATTCACCTAGATTCGAACCTCAGCCCTGTAGAAGCATTGACTCTTTGTGCGCTATTAAATTAGAAATAGTATGAACATATTCTACCTGGTAATAAAGTCAATAACATTCAAAAAATGTATCTTTCCCAAATACTACGTTGCATCGTTTTCTTATGTTAAAACAATGTTACATTAATTTTTTGTGCTTAAGTATTTTAATAAAGTATATACTTTTCTCATCCAAAATTAAATTATTAGTTTCGGTAAATAATGTTTGATTTGAGTTTTTTTATGTCAATTTATTTGAATAGAGGAAATTAAAAATAAAATTTATATGTTCAAAAACTACATAAAAAAATGCAACATCACAATGTTTTTTAAACAAAAAGTTGCAAAAATAAGTAAAGAAAAATAAATGAAATTTGCATTTTTGAATAGTAAATATGTTATTTAATTTAGGAATGAAAGAGTATAGGGACGTTGGAAATACCGCGCTTAAACCGGGGTTTCGGACATTTTCTCTGACACATCAGCTCTTTAACCCCCTTTTAACTTGCACCACAAATTCACTGAAAATACTGGGTTTCAAACTAAGCTTTCAAGCCTTTATTTTTTTAACTTTTTTAATTTACATTCTAAAAATTAAAATTCAAAATATTTCATTAATAACAACATAAAAAATAACACTAGTTTTTAAAAAAACATAAATAAGAGTTATATAAAATATAAATAAAACACAGAAAAATTACATTTAATTAATGATTATTTGAACAACTGAAAATATGTTCAACCAAATCTACCGTTAATGCATTGTGAATCTATCGATTTTGATTTTTTTGACGATTTTCTTCATTTTTTTCTTTGTTGATTTCTTCGTAGGTGTCTCCTCATCTGGGTTGTAATGACAAATTGTAAATTAGTTATCCTCTATAGTCATATTATGAAAAATAATACATGCGTACATAATGTTCATCATTTTTTGTTTGAGAATAACACTTAGACGGACGATCTATAACGTGTCACTAACCCTTCGACCCATCGAAAACTTGTTCAATATTCATTTTTTGCCGCCTCATGAGTTTTTTATGCATTTTCCATTTAAGATCGATTAGTGTCGAGAACAACTTGATATTTGTGTAATAATTTGGATATATTTCATCGGCAAGATAATATTCATGCTTGTAAAACGTCTTTTTAAGCTCAAAAGATGAATCAGGTGCAATCTCATGAACTGAATCATCAAATACATGTGATTTATCAAGAACATTTATGTCATTGTTCGATCCGACAACACCAGAAAAGCATGCCAAACCCATGGTCATTTGAAGCCACTGCTTCGAGCATAATAGTAGGGTTGGGACGATCACCCGTGAGTGCTGACCATGTCACGTAACAGGACAATTGTTCCTTTCCTAATGCGTGCTATCGATGCTCCCAAGCATACCGACAAAGCCATGTTTAGTAGCATGTCTTGCCTATAGATGCTCAATGTTGCTCATTGTCGGCTTACGTAAATACTTCATATGGTACAACCAAATAATAGTTTTAGAGAATTTATAGACACATGGTCTGATGTTTCGACCTGACATCTTCAAGTATTCCCCAAACACATCACTAGCGGTTTCATAGGTTTCATATGCCATTTGATGTAGCGCGACGGTGCACTTTTGGATTCTGCTAAGATCTCTCCAGCTTTTCGCATTAACTCGTTGGGTGAACCAAGGCACCTTGTGTTTAATATTATGTAGTTTTCTTAAAAGCAAAGAACAAGTCATTCGAAAACAGTTGCTAAAATACTCCGTCATGTAGACACACGGAGTATTAAAGTATTCATTGAGTAGTGCTTCGCGCGCAGCCGCCCAGTCACGGTTTAAACGCTCACGTCGGGTTGAACGCCTGGACGATTCCGCTTCCTCTTATTTTCGTTGTTGCCACCACTGGTAACATCCCGTTGAGAAAACGCAAAACATGAATGCTTTTATCTCTTTGTCACACGAAAATGATGATCCAATTTTTTAAATTAGCAAACGACCACATTTTGCACCGTTTGTGGGGGGGGGGGGGGGAACGACTTTCTTCATCTTTCGGCTCCATTGACCTTTAATGTAGCACGCCTGACACCGGGACAACGCCGTGTGGGTGATGTTTATAGACATAACAAACTTAAACACCGGTTTGATGTAGGAGGCGTTGCCCCCATTTCTACCTCTAATATGGTACCCCAAACCGGGCCGACCCGCATTACCTTTCAAAAATACGCGGGAACAGCTACGTTCCTCTTCCAGCCCCCAACCCCCAGCCACCACCTATCATTTCCTCCCATTAGCCACCGCCGCCAGATCTAGTCGGAAAACCGCCAATCACAGTCTCTCTGCAAATGGCCGAAACCCCAATCAGGAGATCTCACAAAACTCCCCAAAAACAGCAACCCATCTCAGATTCATCTCCTCCGTGCCATGCTCTGCCGCCCACTCCTCAAACCCTAGACCCCACGCCTCGCCGCCGCTCCCTCCGCCTGACCTCCTCCACACCTCAAGCCTCAACACCACATCCGGCTACTCCCGCTACCCGCGAATCCTCTCGTCGGAAGTCTCTCAAGTTCTCATCCCAAAATGTCAATAATTTATCTAATCAGAAACATAAATGTACCGATTCTTCCGCCATTTTATCCCCTCCGCCAACACCGTCAGAGGCTGTTCGGTCTGGGAGAAAACGGAAATGTACTGAATCCGTAAATTCCCGTTTGGAGAAAACTAGGGCTTCCAAATCTGGGAGAAAGAGGGTTTATTACAAAAAGGTGGTTTACGATGGGGGCGAGTTTTCAGTGGAGGATGATGTCTATGTCAAGAGGAAAGATGGGACGAGCTCAGAAGATGAAGATCCAGAGGTGGAAGAATGCAAGGTTTGCTTTAGGGCTGGCAACAGTGTGATGATTGAGTGTGATGATTGCTTGGGTGGGTTTCATTTGAGGTGTCTAAACCCTCCCCTGAAAGAGGTTCCAGAAGGAGATTGGATTTGTGGCTTTTGCGAGGCCAGGAAATCTGGGAAATCCGTGGAATTGCCAGTCCCGCCCAAGGGGAAGAAAAAGGTTAGGACATTGAGGGAGAAGCTTCTTTCCAGTGAACTGTATGCAGCCAGAATTCAGAGGTAAAATGATTATTCACACCTAATAACTGTTATTTGTTCCCATAATTTTGTTTTAGTTTATTGATAATGGGAAGCATTTATGAGTTTTAGCATATGGAAAGAAGTGGATGGCACTTACTGGTTTAAGGCCATTTGGTATATTATTCCGGAAGAAACTGCCGCTGGACGGCAACCACATAACTTAAGGAGGGAGCTTTATCGCACTAACGACTCCGCTGATGTTGAGGTATTTTTAAAAGGTTTTCTGATATATGTAAATATGTTCCCCAGGTTCTGGCTAACGGGAAGAGAAAATATTATTGAGTTTTTTCAAGAGATCATCTATTGGCCACTAGAATTGCTTAGAACTAGGTTTTTTTAAGTGAGTTTAGCAGAGAGTTCTTTTCCATAATTCTTTCTGTTTCTAAGAGCTTCAGATTGAGATCAGTCAACTTCCTAACATTTATTCCCGTGATATATTGAAAAAATATATCTATCCCTGCATCAACTATGAAGAGCATTGATTTGTTTAAGCATTTGTTTATGTTTCCTGTCTTCAAACTTTTAATTATGATCAATTGATCATTTTTTTGTGGAGCGGTGGAGATATATAATTTTGCCAGGATATCATTTATAAAAGGAAAAGATACATCCTGATATCCTATACTAACTTTTGATCTTGTAATGGTTCTCTTCTTTAGATGGAATCTGTCATCAGACACTGTTTCGTTATGGCTCCTAAAGAATTTTCCAAGGCAAACAATGAAGGAGATGATGTTTTTCTATGTGAATATGAATATGATGTACATTGGGATAGTTTCAAACGTATTGCTGACATTGACGATGGTGAAGAGGTAATATCCCAATGAAAAGAGAATGGTTATTGTTGGATTATTTGATGCTATATTCTATATTTGTTTGAACTTTGTTTTCATTTTGGCTCACATTCATATTGCAGGATTGTGATGAAGATGAGAGTGACTGGGAGCAGAATTCTTGTGAAGGTTCTGGTTCTGACAATGAAAACGATTTAGAATACGAAGATGAGAATAAACATAATTTATTTAATAGACATGTTCCAGCTCATCCATTGGCTGCGGTATGATCATAAGTCATAACACTGAACACTTTAGAAGGCCTGTAAAATGAAGACTAACAGCTTACATATTTTTAAACATAGAATTCCCGGAAGGGGCAAATTTTTGGACTCCAAAAAATAGGAGCAAAGAAAATTCCAGATCATGTAAGATCCCACAAGCTGACAGATCTTGAAAAGGCAAAATCAGCCCTTCTATTGGCAACACTTCCTAAGTCTTTACCTTGTAGGAATAGGTAAGAATATATTGGATTTCAGCTTTGATTGGTTTTCTGATATACTTTTCCAAATTTTTAATTACTACTTTCTTTGAAATATTTTAAGCAGAGAAATGGAAGAGATAACTGCATTTATAAAAGGTTCCTTATGCGAAGATCAATGCCTAGGAAAGTGCCTTTACATTCATGGTGTCCCTGGGACCGGAAAGGTAATCTTAGGATCTAAGAGTGTCAGGTTCAAGGTTTCAAAAGTTGAACCAGTGGATCAAATCATAAAGCTGAGGATATAGTAAAAAATATATTACAAATTACCAATAAATTTGAGAAAAGAGAGAATAGTGGCTTACAATATACATATGATATCACAAAGTTTGCTAACTATTTCATGGTGCAGATTGAACAATGAGCTCCTATGATAGACACTGGTTTCCGGTAACAAGATGTAGAAAATACGATTAAGGAAACAATCTAAAAGAAGCCCTTAAGCAAGAATCTTGCATTCTCGCATAGGAGGA